TGCAACTGGCGATCTTAGAGAAGCAGTCCACGGCGCAGAGCAACATAAGCGACAAGATCGAAACGGAGATGGCGCCAGTGTGGCGGCAGATTGGCAGCATGTATAAACAGCTCACCGCCAACAAGGAATCGCTGGACAAACTCACGGTAATCATTCGACTATTCGACCACACCAACCATACAACAACATAGGGTGTCCAATCTAGTGTGAATCGTAAAAAGGGCGATAGCTGGACTCGGCCCATCAGTCCCATCACTTCCGATCTTGACTTGAATGCTCCGCCCTGGCTATTTTTCGGGGCTTACAGCTCTTCAGATGTTTGCGGAGCAAGCAGTTATTTAATTGGACCATTCCTGCCTTAACCACCCTGAGTTATAATTTTCCATACATTGTGCTCATTTAATGTAATTTGAACCCCAAATAAATAACTCCTTATTGTCACAGAAACCATAGAACCTCTTGCGTGCGTGTACAAAACGTCGCTATAAATTATAAACGATTCTAATGGCGATATTCAATTACTTAACGCCTGTGTTAATTCCAGGAACAAACTGGCCGGTATGTTAATGATAGCTCCACCTCTATGGACAACATCAACGACAAGGTACGCTTAAATGAGCTCTATGCAATTACGTTAAGGGTTTAATTACAATTGGATTGTGCTAATTACATGCCTCGTGTCCCAGGTGGGGAAGATAACCGCTCGCATGACAGAAGTGGACGATAATTTGAACTATTTACTGGGAAGGCTGTCGCTGGTGACCCAGGAGTTCCATCAAATCAAAACTGGGCTAGGGGAGGCCCTTGATAAAGCCAAATCTAATCTGCGCACCGTACAAGACAAAGAAGGTAAATAATACGAACTTGTTTGAACACTGACTTGGAAATGTCGATGAAATAGAAATAATACTGGTTTTTTCTTATATTGTGATAAATTTTGCAGATAAAGGTCCTGGACCACATAACATCTCCAGCGCGGAAAAAACAGATTGAAAAATGGTGCCAAATTTACTTAAGACGTAGACCTAATTTACTTAAGATTAGTATTAGCTATAGGTAAGTTGACTGAGCGCTTTAGACAGGTTGTAATGATCTAAAAAATAAAACTCACAAGATATTAACTTTTGCAAATATTTAATCTCTTTCATAATTGTGGATCTATATATTTATATTGTACAAGTTATATGATACAATTAAATTTTAACGTGACCGATATCTCGTTGTCACTTACAAGTGAGCGTAAAACCAACAATATACAACTGACGAGGATTTTCTAAGAAAATGTGAATTAATGAACTGTACAATAATCATTAATATTGATAATAATCTTAAACAATATACACACAAATTATTTGTCTTTCGTTTTGGTTATTATTTTATTAATCCTGATTACAACCTCATTTTCCTATGTGCAATTAATATTATAATGACAAACATACTGATTTTTTAATCCAAAAATATTATATTAAAATTTTGTGCCATTATAGTGAACTTGTTACGATTATTATTGTATTACATTTCGAAATAGTGAAAACACTCAATGTATCATACAGAAGGAAACAAAGACTATAGTTATGTTACAGTAATATTGGCCGTTTTACGTATATGATACACATTTCGGGAACGAATACATTTGAATAGGGTTTATATATGATTGTATATTGTAATTATACACTTAAGATAGTTTCGAGTTCGACCAGAACGACTGCTCGGAATGCGGGCCCACGGTAAACACTAACATTCGTTGTTGTTGTAACAGCCTAGATGGGACATTCGCTAAACGCTAATATAAACGGTAATACAATAAAAAATCAACAATGTCCCAGTAACGAAGACACAACATTAAAATAAAGGAATGTGTATTAAAATCTACGCGAACCAGTCGCTTGTTTTATTTGGAATTTTATCTACATTATTTAATAGGATACCCATCCATATCAATATTCATTATCATTACGAATATCAAATAAATAAAACAACACTATTGTTAGGAGGCAAATGTTCACTGGCAGTGGCATACCTAACACCCATACACGAATAGCACTTGAACATCTTTACATTATGAATCACTGTATGTACATGGTCAATGTACATGTACACTATATTTAAAGGCAAAAAATATTTACAAATCCTTAATTATGTGGTAAAAAGCACTTAATAGCCATTCCTTACCCCTTTTCCCAAGACCTATCCAAAAGAGAAAATTATATCTAGAAAATTGTGTAAGCAACAACAATAAACAACAAATATTGTGCGAAATTGAGGGGTTTAAGTTTAACAATCAAGCTTATGTAATTAAAAAGGAAAAAATGACCGATTTTTAACTAATAAATAAGATTATGAATTAAAGCATAAATGTATAAAGCTTAATAGACAATAGAAAACATTATCTATGACTATTAGGATGATAAATAAAAAATAATATTAAAATGGCGAATCTATGAAATGGCCGAGTATGAAAGTACAAGCTCCCTAGGTGAAGTAAATCTAAGGTTGTCCATGAGACAAAACTGTTTCATGTCTGTGACATCTACACTTTGTACAATGCGGTATCAAAACGACGCTGCGCGACAGCCACCTTACTCCCAACTGTACGCTACTATTTATAATTCATTAACCCCTAACTAAGTCTCGAGTGTAAATTGTGCCACACAAGCGCCTGGATGGGACACCTAGAGCCGCGATGACCCGGCGCGTCGGACGCGCCGCTCCCCGATACGTAAATGCATGCTTTGGAATACAATAATATTAAATTCCTGTAAAAACAGAGTTCATAACCCTGTAAAAATTATCGTAATCTCTCTAACAACACAATCATATAAAATGACACTCATCCCAACTTGTTTACTATAATGAATAAGTTCTTTGGGTTTGATTTTGGAATAACCTACCGCAATAGACAGTTTCATTAAGTTACCTAAGTAATATAGTTGTGGCCGGATATCAAGGTGATGTTTGTATACCCTAAAGCCGTTCACAAGTACCTGATACATTATTCAGACAGTTACTCTAATTTATGATCTTACATAATGGAACTTACATAGGAAGACATACAACTATACACATACGCCCGTCATGACATGGCAAAATTAATTTTCATTTCGAATTTCATTAATGTAGCTTTTGCAATAAAGAACTGTTTCATATCCCAAAGAAAACTTTTTGAAAATGATAACTGTAACAGAAAAAAATATAAAATTATGGAAACGCAAAGAATAAATCCAGTTGGATAGACAATACCGAGATGTGAGGAAGTTCAGCTTAATTTCAGTCTACCAACCCAACATAATTCCCTGATCCCAATTGTCAGAAAACAAGTCCGCAAATGAATACATGACCACCCCATAAATCCGAGGCACTTATATGATCTTAAGAGTAATGATATACAACTACTACCTAGTGGTACCAAATGTTAGCTCATTGTCATTCCGTGAAGGACCCGTTGATACAACGAGTGTGACACATTTAAAGCTATGGACATGTTTCACATACTAATCGTTAATAATGTCTAACCTAACACGGAGAGAGAAGGGAGCTATCGTAACGTACAAAGTACTTACCTATTTAACCTACATTCAGCTCTTAAAACTTACCGAACTGACCGTTAACCAGTGTGATTACATACAAAATTGGTGTAGTAAAATGAGTGTCCAACTTCATATAAACGCCTAACGTGCCGTCATGTTAAAAAATATAGTGTCTCCCGGTGAACTTGGAAAAAATTTAAACAAGTGCAGTAGTGAAAAATAGTTAATCGTTTCAAATGATCACTCCTCACATCGTACACCCCTTAACATATGGTTAATAACGTTAAAAGAAGGCGCCACGTCGACCTTCAACAACCGAACCTACGAAGCGGAATGTCACCACGATCACGCGTGAACTATTTACATATCGACAAGTCGCAATAACGAAACAACAATCATCTCTCTATGTATACTTTAAAACCGTCGCACATAATTTTATGTACAAATTCAACAGGTTCAGTTTAAACCTGACCGAACATAACATCAATAGGGACTCGGCCTTCGCGTGGCGCTTCAACCGACAGAACACAGAAGCTGGGTGAACGAGTACATCATCATTATTATTTTATCAATTCCTATAAACGCTATAATACAGTAGGACTCGGGCCCGTCGGGGCGAGGCGAGCGCGCGCCCGAAGCGGACGCCGCGAGCCGCCGGCCGAAACGGTCGGGAGGCTTCGAGCGGTCGAAGCCGCCACGCGAAGCGTTACAAAATATTAATCTTATGTACATATTGTCGCTCGAAGATAGAGTAAGAACCTTAGATTAATAAAACCTAGATGGATAGTCTTCATACAAACGCTTCGTCAAGAGTGAGGCAAAAATCTTATGTCATTAGTGTCAATTTTGTTGGGGAGTGTAGACAGTGAAGGCGATTTTCCCGAAAGTAGGGAAATTTTTAATACGTTTTTAATTATTTTATAACTAACAAAAACAAAACGCATCATGTACTTACTTATTTATTGAATTCAAAGTACCTACCTAATTACAATAAGATAAATCGGCTGAAAAGTCTCGATTTCATAAAAAAGGAAGTGTATTTGTACGGCGAACAATTGGGAAATAAATTTTCTTGTTACTGGTATCATTCCCGTATTTAATTTTTGAAAGCCAAATTCAAGCAAAATACGCGTCGAATCGTAGTACTTACTTATGAAATGTAACACTGGTCACTTTCTTTAGTTTTTCTGTTGTATTTAGACACCCTTTCACAGCACAAACCGTCTTAATTAATTAAAAGTCGTCGGACGTGTTTACCAATTTTTCACTTCGACAGTTCATGTGACGTTTACGAGTAAGCCATTGTGGCTTACTAAAATCTGCCTCCCGCTTTGGACCCGGTGGCGTCTCGAAACCTGCTTACTGTATACTTAACTCCACAGAATCCATGAAAAATCAATAGAACTGAAACACCCACGTTCTATTGATAACTATGTCAATATTTTTCACTCGACATTGGCAGAAATAAACCTCCCAGAGAGGTTTGGTTGCCACAAAAAAAAAAAAAAAAAAAAAAAAATCTGCCTCACCTTTCGTGCACTGACTATCTATCTAGGTTTTATTAATGTAAGGTAAGAACTAACAGCTACGTCGGGTGCGGGATATAAAAGGTGGTCGCGGGGAGTTTACCTCCGCGTGCTTTTGGAGGAGGGGCGCGAGTGCGTGCGAGGGGTCGCGCCCCCCCCCCTGTCCTAACTGGAGCACGACGCCGCCGACACCGGCGACAGCGGCGAGTCGCGCGGGCAGCCCGACAGCGTCACCACCACCTGACACACAAATAACATTCAATGAGGGCTATCGTTTTTATACTTAACAGTTGGCACCCACCCAATACACCCAAGAGATAGCACATTCTCGAGCTCAGCGAGAGAAATTAGAGCTCTTACCAGTGATGGACTTTGCTATTCAATGGAATACCAGTCAAATAATCCGCTCCCAGAACACATCTAATTATGGCTATGGATGGCCGATCGTAGAAAATAAGAGAAAAAAAAAGGTCTACAGTGGCGCCATCTTGATGAGTGCAAATGCGATAGTCTTCCTACCACTTTCGCGCTCACCAGTTGGTGCCACTGTCTTCGCTACTAGCAAGTGACAAGACCTTACTCTACAGTGGCGCTAGCTGGTGAGCACTAAAACGATAGCTCTCATTGATGATCAGTGAAAATTTTAAAAATTAATATGACCATAGCTTTGTTTAAATCTCATCCCGTTACTTATGTAAACATTTTATCATCAAATACGGTTAAATAGATTTTAGTCAGGCGGTTAGGTTAGGTTAGATCAGTATGGGCATGTATGGAAGTACGCACATTACACTGATTTGATTTGGTCGATTCTTCATACAATTTAAAATCGGGCACAACTACCGGCCAACTAAAAATCGGTGGTCTGTGCCTAGTCTAAGATGAACCATTGGGATTCATTCGGTTACATTTACAGTTACATTCAGTTCCATATTACAAAAACACTCAAAGCTCAATTCAATATCAGTCATAGATTCTGTGAAACTATTTGAAATTAAATCAATTTTCAAACTTCGTTCTGTAATACACAATTTAACATTCATCAGTCATCATCATCATCGACACAGTATAAGGTTTTACTTATTATTACAGTGTGGCCCTGCATAAACTGCAACACCGGAAAGGGGTAAATGAAACTACATCATAAATATCGACAAAAAATTTTTTCTTGTAATAAAAAAAATTATATTTTTTGTATCAATTCATAATTTTTTTATTACAAAAACTAATATTTTTTTTATGATGTAGTTTCACCCCCTTCTTCAGAACAGTCCATAACTCGCTTATTTGACTTTAAAAAAAATGTGATTCCAACTTTCACATTTCTTTTGGAATGTTCATAAATCCTAAGCACAGTTGCAAAGGTTTTTATCGAAAAAGTCCCCACATCACACACAAATATAATATTCTTATGAATGACAAACATTTTGTACAAATAATGTCTCATGCTTGTCCTAGGACAGTAAGCATGTCTAAGGGATATACATTTCTATTATTATACCATGGTTAAAGGCTATCCCCCTTACTAATAAAACTTACACGCTCGTTGAACAGTGTTTTAGTGACGTTTAGTATGGAAATGTCATTTTAAAACAGTGTACAACAACTGTGTAACTTTTTATTAGTAAGGGGGTACGTCTTTTATAATTTAGTAAGTAATACCTTTACTAAATCCCATTAGATAAATCTTCCATAGTCCCTGTGACAAGGAAATTCTGGAATAATAGCTGTTAATTTCAACAGCCAACTGTGGTATTACCATGCTTAATTTTTATGGTAAACATTAGTTAAGGCCATCATGCCAAAACTATAAAATTAAATATGGGTTACTTCCATGTCAGTAGGGCAACTGGATTCCTTAAAATATTAGCAACCCACCCTTCGTTTTCCTTCCTATTGGTATTAAGTCTTTGACTTATAAATCAAAATGATCTATCTGCTGAAGTATTTGGCAATAATAATATAGAATCTGTAAAATAAATGCAATATGATTAATATAAAAAAAAGGGTTACCTTTCGGCTGCCTGCATGGTTCCGATGCTCACACAACCACACTCCCTGCCATGTGCCAAGATTTAATTTGCCATCAGTGATGGGGATTGTCAAGGATGACCCCAGAAAGCAGGCTTTTACATGTGCAGGCTGTAGAAATAAATACAAATATTGCATCAGTATACAATTTAAAAATAGTAATAGTGATTTCATATACTGTGATAAAACATTTACTGAAAAAACACCTTCATTTTACTATGTTTATGCATAGTAGGTAGTAAATACTAGTTAAAATATAAGACAGAGAAGATGTTAATTATTAAAATTAAAATAGGTACAGTATCATAGACACTAGCATATAACTGTTAATTCAAACTTGACCTTCACATTATCATTTATCATTGTCAGTTATTAGTAACAAACACTAAGTCATACAGTACATCTTTACTTCTTTAGCAATTATGCCAAAGTAATATAAACAAATGCATGTGTACAAATGACAATTAAACTTTTGACACAAGTAATTTCAAATGTTTAATTAGAGTTAGTTTAGAACCTCACCATATCGTCGGGCCCCTCGCATGAGTGGCGGTAAGGCAGACCTTCGGGAACGATTTTATTGAGCATCATCTCCATGTCGTCTCTGACGTCTGGGTCCCAACTCTCGTTGAGCGCGAGGCTCGCTGATGTGTGCATTACTGGAAACAACGTGACACAACGATCAGCTGGTTACCACGCTCCGCCCCAGCCTCCACTACTGGGGTACACCTCTTTACTACCGACTTAGCGTAATTAGAAACAGCACGAGATGTAGGGCAAATGTGACAAGTGGGAGGGGGTGCATCATCGGCGGCAAGAATGCGATCTTGACGGCTGACGGTACTCACTTTGGATATGGCAAAGCCCCACCGCAAACTGGGACAATTCCGGCACCTGCTTGAGGATCTCCTCGGTGACCAGGTGCACGCCCCGGTGCTGCGGTCGCAAATTCAGTTTCCGTTGGAACCACGCGGATCCGATCTGAATTCCTCGGTTCGAGGCCATGTTTAATTTTTAAAAACGCTACAGAGTGACCGCAAGAACACAAACGATCTTACACAACATCACTTAGAACAACCTTTACACGAATTAATCCACAATTATCATAAAAGATTCATCTTCGATCTTTAAATAGTAATAAATATAACGGAGGTTATAGGACAGATTCGACACCCTATTTTCTGCGGGAAAGTGAAACAGACACAAACGAAAGAGAAAAACGATAACGATGTTGTCATTATCGTGAAAAAGTGAAACTACTATGCGTCATTCATTTCATTCATTCAAAAATTATTTCATGAGACATTTCCTACTTTTGGGTAGCTTTTCGCAGAATTTTTATGCAACGTAAGTGATAGTTGAATTAGAATTTAAACTGTAAAATCTGTATTGGACTGAGTAAAACTTATAAATATTGATTTACTTGAAAAGTTTAGTTTGCGTTGGATTTAAAATTACCTGTAAAATAAAGTTGTTATTACATAAATCCAATTAAACACCTTTAGCATTGAAAACAAACAAAAAACAAAGGTAAAAAGTTGGTTCAATGAGTTGTTACTCTCGACTTGGTAAGTACTCTCGATTCGATTGTGACTTGAATTTTCTACATTCGTTTAGCTTGATATGGTAACACCAATTGTAGAAAAAAAAAGTAACCGCGGTATTTCAGTGGAGGGAAATTTAAAATTTTGATCAACTAAACTGGGATGTTGCGTATTCCAACACGTCGTTTTACTTGTTGAAAATAAAAAATACTATTTACGAAATATACGCTTGGTAGAATTTTATTTTGTTAACTTTCATGCCCCTCCATTGTTCTTTGGAACTAGGTACAAAAATGTTTATGGGAGTGCCATAGGGTGGTGGTAGCGTAATGTAGGTGCGGCTAATAACCACTCCTTGGAATTAGGACAATTAGTTTTTTCTTCGTTTGGACTGTTTTGTCAGTCGCGTATCAGTTTCGTTAATTAGTGTATAATCAGTTAAAAGTTAAAATCAACAATGGATCTTATTATGGATGTTACAAAGAATTCAGAGGAGCCTGAATGGCTAGAAAAACGTATTACTGGTGATCTTAGGCTTTGGCAAATTATGTTTCTTTGTTTGGCTGGACTAACTTGTTTAAGTAAGTACTTATTATTACGTGCTCTGTGTAGGTACTTGACTATAATACCTACTTACATGTTTACACAACACATTAGCACCATCTGGGGGTAATAAATTACAGAGGTGTGAATAATGTGTTAAAGTATATTATCAAGTTACGCGATATAAATAACTACCTACCTACTATTTCAGTAATTGAATTTTTAATCTGAGAGTTATAAACATTTTATAATTTTGTAAGTGGCAAAATGTTGTGGTATCGTATATTTATTATTTCTTTTAGTCGTCATGGTTTGCTGCTGTTTCCGTTTCCGTATCCCTCGCACTAAACAGCAGATTGAAGCAGATTACCAGCGCAGGAAAATTACGTCAAAGTTTCGACAGCAGCTGGAAACCATTCAAGATGCGAAGATGGATGCAATGTCTTTGACAGATGGTGACAAGTTTTATCCACCCACATACACTTCCATACAAAACCAAAGCTATACTTATAATACCTACTTTCATCGTACCCAAGTGACGTATGCGTTTAGGGAATGTGTTAAATCATCACCTAACTCGTTGATTGTTTTGAGTTTCTGACGATGGCATGGCCTGGATCAGTAACAATTTGACGCAATCAAATTTAGGTAGGTAGTAGGTACAACCTAGGCATCTAGGCATGCTTTATCCTTACCCCGTTAACGGTTATGTATTCGTCATCGGTCACAATTAGGCCTGCCTACCTACATACCTACCTAACTTACGATTTTTGGATAGTATATGGATTGTATTTGGATAGATATCCATTTACAAACGTTAACTTAATATTTTTCGAATTCAAGATATTATTTCACTCATTGCATGACACATCATCATGATGGCTGACACAGTTAACGTAATTATTTGCATTATTCAATTTTAATGTACCTACTAGTTAACTAGTGTGACTGTCAAAGGCAAACATCTTTACAACTCATAAAACTACAGGGTGAGAGGTAATAATGATACAAAATTATGTCTTAATACCTACCGTACAGGTAATATCACACGCGCCCGTTCTATTTACCTAGGCTAGGAACATACAGGTATAGGCAGATAAGTTATACTTTAACCATCATAGAATTAGTATCGATGCAAACATTCGCTGAATACTTACATACATTTTTGCAAGTAGCACTTGTGGGTGCTTTTCTCTCAGAATGAGAGCACCCTATAAGTGTAGACACGCAGTGATCGTCTTTGGCAAAGATGACTGATAAGATAACAATTAATACACGAGACAAGACTAACATTTTACCAACAGTAACTACTTGATGTTATCGGGTTTAATTGAAGTTATTAATTTCTTTCTTGCAAGCTCTGGAACTACTGCACGAGAAAACTAACAATACCATGGAAGGTGATAATCAACAGGGATCTCAGCCTAGCTCCATCATGTCACCGCAACAAAGTAAGTCTGTGCCAATTTTACAATTGGGTGGGTACCTGAAGCTGAAGTCATGATTAATTATTTGAATTAAAAAATGAAATCGTATTTATATTTATTACCTTTATTATCATATCCGTGCTCTGCTCATGTACACTTGCCTCGACGCTTCGTAGATTTAGCGAAATTTAGATATCGTGGGCTGTCCTAGAAGATTACAGCAACATTCAGCAAGTCCAAATCTATCCATTTTGGTTAAACTTACTTACACCATAGACTAAAAACTTTATCTACGACGACGTAGTCTTCATCATCTGCCATCTTTTTATCTCCTCCTCTGTTGATGACCCAGACCCAGGCGTGGTAAAACCATATTTTGGCTCTTTCACTCAAACTGAGACGATAGGCATGAGCATAGATTAGAGCCAATTATATTTCCATTCATAAATTAATATGAGCTATCGCAAATTAAAAAATACATCTTTGCAGGTTCCTTAGACGCGTTCCAGGGGGAAGCGGGGGCAGGGCCGAAGCCAGAGGGGCAGCAGGGGCTGAGCTTCGTGAAGTTCGCGAGTAAGGTGGCCACGCTGTCCAAGCTGGGACAGCCCAAGGCACCCGCCTCGCCCGCGCCCACAGAAAACAAGATGGAGTTTTAAACGATACTGCCTATAATACAAGCATCCAGAATATACGTGCACGTAACGTAAATGTAATTATTTTTTCGGAAACACTATCAGTTGTGCCAGCACTTAGCGACTGGATAAGGTCAAAGTGTTCGACAAATTAACGAAAACAAATTTTGTCGCCTTTCTGAAAATCAAAGCTGTGTTGTAGTTTACAATGGTTGGATTTTGGATGCTTGTAGAAAGCACAATGCTGCGTGAGAGATTAATTCGATGTCAAAGTTTGTAGAGCATTTCTCTCAAACCTTCACACGGTTACACTCGAAATTAATGTATTTGGAGATAATTTTAATTATAGGAACTGATTGTAGCTTTATAGAATTTTCTAACGTGTATTTGTGATAAACATATTATTATATTGGAAATATCAATGGAATCTCCAGTCTAATGAATCTAGAAGAGATTAGAAGGAGACTAGAAGTATATTGTAGTGTTATAATAAAAATGAAATAAACACATTGAAGTAAGATGTTTTCTTTAATCTAGAAAATAAAAATACAGTATAAACGGATTTTCGAAATCACAAGAATAATTACATATTCACAAATAACTTCAGTATTCTGCAGTTTACAAAATCTCGCGTTAAACTGACAGTAAAAACAATGATCAAATTGTAAGGAATAACTTTAAAGCAACATTTAACTTACATTTTATAATACATAAATAATACATCTTGCAAATAAAAGTTACATAAAATTCAAGTTAGCTACAAAATTTTATTAAATAGTTAAATTGTTTCTACATGCTTGTATTACTCTTCATTCTTACCAAACATCCCGTATGTTATTTTTATACTGTCATGTTACAATAGTATGTCTTCTTTAGTTTATGACTTAGCGAATACATTCAAATTTCATAAATTCCCTCGGGTGGGCGAGAACGTCTCAACAATCACTCAGTCCGCAGTCCCGACTGCACACACTTCACGCTACTCCTGGCAAACACTTGAGGTACACTGAAACTTGATTACCATCTAGATTTACTTTGATACGATATTCCAGCCCTTGGTGTTCGAAAACATTGAGCAATTTATTTAGTTAAAATTACGGAACACAAATGCATGCCGATACACGTCTCAATGTTTAATTTGGGATGTCACTAACTACACACAATAAAATATGTAATATGCAAATCATGGTTTACTAAAATTTATTTAATTTAAAATTAAATGCAAGTCGGAATAAAAAGGTGTGTAATCAAATTGCACTTAAGTTAGATATTACAAAGTGTACCGCGGCTACACTAGCGGGTCTAGCGACGCGCGGCCCCCTCGACAATAAGGCCATTGCATGTCCCCTCCTGACTATGGAACAAACCATTGAGAAATACTATACACTTTCACTTACACATTATTATAATTGAATCGGACCTACCTAAAACTGAAAATTAATTTTATTAAAATTATTGTTCGTATATTGCATATCATAACATTATGAAACTAAACGGAGGAGCGGTGTTTAATATTAGTCATCGATAATTCGTACAAGTTTGTGCATCATACCTGTCTTGATAATCCCGAGATATACATTTTTACAACTTCGTAAACCAAAACAATAAGTATAGGCTATATTTTATAATACATTTACCCTACATGAGGATCGGTAATCGCGTAACTTACACAACAAAATTACGTAAGCTAAAGGAAAGTTCGGTCTCGATGGACTCCGGCCCGGCGGCCGCCGACACGGGAACCGGTCGCGAGCTACAAATAGAACTCTCATCGTGATAAAGCATGATCTCGTCATCAACAAGTACTACGGCAACATTATTTATCGACTTTACGCTACGCTCAAGAGTTGACAATAAATATTTATACTAGGATGCGCACGAGTCGCCCGCGGGCGGCGGGACGATAAGTACTTTGTGACCGAGCGAGGGCAGCGGCGCGTGGCGGCGCCGACGAGACCACAGCTCGCGCCGGCCCTACGTCCCGCCGGCTCGCAACACTCAATCTCGCCTGACAAACGTTCTCCCCCTGGAAATAAACAAAATTCCTGTTAGTAAACCAAGCCTCTGTAACTATCAGCCGCTGAAAGTTATTCTGGAGCACAGACGTCTGTGATCCTCGCCACAAAATATGAAAGAAGGCCATAAATAAAAGATCGTGGCATTGGTCACCAACTTCAATGGACTTACAAAATAAGCAAAAGACGAAGATGATCGACCCAACTACCCTATCGATAGATGGCGTGGTATCTAGTTTAGTCCAATCGGGGAGGTTACTCTGTGGACTCCTAAATCTGACCATAAACAAAAGAAGCAGACTGGTAGTGTCAACTAATTTATCGATACGTAGCCACGATAGAGTAGTATGTTGTTTAGTGCATTTGAGTAAGTCACTCTGTGGACCGTTATCCTAAATCTGACCATAAACAACATTTCAAAAGACTAGTGGTGGCAACTACTGTATCGACAAGTGTACTCACGGTCTACTGAATAGCTATCGATATTATGTTGTAGCACAGAATAATAATAAGTACTACGTACAGAAGTTTTACTTCGCGAAGGTATTTAAAAAAATGTATGCTCAATGTCATTAACAATATGGTGTAATTTAGCTTGTCTCAAGAGTCAAGCAAGTTTGTCAGAAGTTTTGTTGACAAACGTCAGTGATCGGTACTGCGCCGAAGCTATAGGGCTGACTTCGGTAAAATGATGTGACGTGATGTGCCAATCTGCAGAAAATGGCGGAGGAAATACATGATTTAGCATGAATTATCATGAATAATATTAACTACTTATTTACCTCTCAGTGTCTTGAGGCAACTTAAAAAAGTACATTCTGTTTTTATTATTATTTAGGCAGTTAAATACTGCACAGTATTTAGTACACCATTTTCTTTATTTTTTTCCATCATACACAAGAATACGCGTGCGTGAGTCAATGTTCGCTCGTATGTGACGCCTTGTCGAATAGTACTCTTGTAGGGGGCAATCGTGCGTGTTTTGTTTTCGATGTAAACTCGCGGAGATGAACAGGCCTGGTTGTAGTGTCTAGTTTAGTCCAATCGGGGAGGTTACTCTGTGGACTCCTAAATCTGACCATAAACAAATGAAGAACACTAGTGGTGCCAACTACTGTATCGATATCGATATACTCACGTGATGGTCTTGCGCTCGGCAGGGCGGGCGGGCTGCGGTCGCGCGCGGTTGAGCACCTTGAGCAGGTCGCCGGCCTTGGCGCGCATGCGGGAGTGCACGTACACCTTGGAGCACTTGATGTGGTAGTGCAGGTAGTCGCGGAACATGTGCAGCAGGTCGATGGTGTTCGCGCGCGCCGAAGCGCACGTGTGTCGCGGGAATAGTACTGCAAGAACAACGTGGTTAGATCCACAGATCACAGAAACTAAAGGGAGATGTGACAAGGGGGCGGGGCTGGTGTCGCAGCGATATGCCCAAAACAGAACATATTTCTCGTGAAAGCAATGATGACAGCAGCGACGTCATAATGTAAAGCGTTTACATTGCTTGCGTAGTGCTAAAAACTATTCAAACGTTGAGTACTGATACCGTAGGGTATAATGATATTTTGATTACTTTATGTGTGTGAATTTCTAATGCGACACTAGAGTTTCGAACTGAGCGCATTAGTTGGCATCTCTATATATTTCTATGGTCAGAACAAACGATACAATGACACTGCTGAATGCCCGATACACTCAAATGGTTCAGCCCTTCTAGATGAAGTAAAAATCGTTCAATCGCTAGCAGAGCGAAGTAACTCAGACAAAAAAACGCGGGAGTGAAAAGATTTCACATTATTTTGTTTGGAGGCGGAACAAGCGAAAGGGGCTTATACTCAACTATAGACACGCAAGATAAATAACTACAAAAAACTCCAACTCGACATTATCCTGCCTCTAAATGTACCGCTCTAGCGTAAAAAGCTCGACCTTTCCCGCCAATGAGGGTTTTCGCGATTTAAAAATCCGCCAGATGGCAATACGCGACGTCCAAAAGCTGCATGATTGGTTATTTGTGACATGACATTGACAGATATGTCAAAATCCACCAATCATGCAGCATTTGGACCTCTCGTCTATGTATTGCCATCTGGCGGATTTTTCAATCGCAAAAACCCTCATTCCGGTCAACGCAACGCAAAGTTGCGTTTTTTTTAATGGTGGCACTAGCGCAACACATTTCGCAACTTCAAAAATATAAGCGATTTTATGGCGAATACCTGCCACAACTTTTTTGACGATATTTCCCATAATAGAATTTAAGCTATTTCACCCTTATGAATTCACATTATGAGCTGTAAATAGTATTACGCATTGCGTCCAAGCCGGTTTCGAAATTCTAAAAATGTTCACTAAATTACTTTGCTAATTAAAAAAAAATCTTCTTATTTTTAATCATGAATTAACTTCCAAGAAAAATAAATGAATTATTATTAGAGCAATAATAACTTCCAATGGGACAAATATTGATTAACCATAACCTTTTACAATAGAAATCGTCAATAAACAAAATAAGAGGAAACATGCTTATAATATTATTGTAATCCAACAGGTAAACAACAAGCATTACTAACTGTATATCAAGGATATCATGCATTACTATAGATAGAATATGAAGTACCCCACAAGGCAGTGTTTCATGGCTACAACTATTTCTGGTCCATCACCCACGAAATAGAGAAAATTTAACTTACCAAAAGTAACGTAACTGATATTTTCTCCTACTTTAGCATCCGTGTCCATGAGTTCTAATGGCGGTTCTTTGTGTGAAAACAGAACCTGGAAAATACATGATTTGTAAATTAATAATTTTATACATTTTAGCCACATCTAAGAAAGTTCTCTGTAGGCTTCCGCAGCTTGTTTAAAAAGGTTTATAGCTGGATAACTTAAGTGTAGTTAGTATCAGTGTTGTACAGCTTCTCACTGACACTGATAAATGTACTTTATTATACCTGAGGAGCTGTGTGGGATGCTCTTCTGCCTTCTTTCAGCTCTTGCATGAAAACTTTTCCAATGACCATATCATCTTCGTGTCTGAAGACCGTTGAGAACACCACTGTTACACGGTCTTCTTGTGCTTCGACATATCTAGAACGGAAACCATTACAATATTATTTAAACATATTCGTTCTTAATGCAAAGTATTTATTGAAGATGCCTGTGCGTGAATAAAGTATGTGAAAATGCAAATAAAGTGGACTTTACTGTTATCTTCCGATTATGGGGTTTGCAAGACGCAAACCATGAGGATAGATAACATAAATCCAACGCATTTTATAAGACCTTGAACTGTCGAGCATGGCTGCTATCTATTTGTTTGGTATAACCATAGCCTAGTGCTAAAATTCTCAAACGGCGGTAATAAGCGCCATCGGTTATACATCATATCGTACGACGCGTCTCTTATTTACGCTTACTATAGAAATGTAACTGTGGTCTCATTCACACGATGACGTCGACGTTGAAGTCAGACTTATTGGAAAACCATAGCCAACGTTTCAATTTTAGATTTTACGTGGTCCACATACCATTCGTCCAAAATGTGGATCTAGAAAATAGCTTGACCCAACTTTGGTGCCAATAAGTACTACTTTCTTAGCTGAGTGGCGTTGGGATCAACTTTGAGGCCATTTGGAGCCGCCCTAGACCGTAATCGAGTTCTTTTTTAAACACATTTTACATTTTACAACAGATAACATAACTACTCACAGAGTCTCGTCCTGTCTGTAGTTGATGACGGCGCGCTTGTGGCCGACGTCGCCGTCCTCCTGCAGGCGGAAGTAGCGCTCGAACACGGACGCGAAGCAGTTCCTCTTGAGCAGGCCCGCCTTCTTCACCACCTCCTCCCAGTCCTCCGGGATGCTCTCCAGGTCGAGCAGCAGGGAGACATTGTAACCTGACCACGTCAATGAACGCTCAGGCAATGGTAATGACATTGATGAAACAAACGCTGGCCATAACAGTAAAAAATTAAAAAATTCATAAAATTCATTTATTTTTGCAAATAGGCTTTAAAAAAGCGCTTTTACACGTCCCAATATTAACCCTACCACTGCTTCGGGACAACAAATGGGCCAGTGCTGAGAAGAATAGTGTATTACACTTGAAAATTTCGACGGGTTCATTCAGTGTCTAATGCCCGTTTTCACCATGAATCCCTTGTTTTTGAGTGACCCCTATGGTAACACATAACAGGAATTTTGTTTACATAGGGGTCACTTAAAAATTAGGGATTCATGGTGTAAATGGGCCCGGCAAGCGGAAGGTCGTGGGTTCAATTCCCGCCTTAGGCAGATCGATTTTTTCAAGTTATTTATAATTTTCAAATTAGTTTGAGATGCAACTCTTAATGCTAAAAATTAAATAAGTAATGGTAATAGTAACGATAATATTTTGAACTTTATTGCTTTGTGTTAAGGTCCAAATAATAAGGAAAATGTTAAGCTTGCTTATCCGTTTCAGTCTGTGGCCACGAAACTGGCGACGGCCGAGCGACGGGCGATGCGACGCGACGTGGAGCGGCGGCGATAAGGAATAGTATTATTGCGATCACCCCGTTCCGCCGCCGCCCGTTTTGTGTGTGTCACCATATCCTGTCATGTTGTTGTATGCACCGCCCCGCTGTCGCAATCGCTCGGCCCGTCGCCAGTTTCGTGCCCGCAGACTAAGGCTGTGGTTTCCTATAAGCGTCGTAGGCCGCGTCACAATGCTAACTATAGAAATGTATTGTTGTGGTCTCTTTCAGATTGACGTCGGCGTATGGACGTTGATAGGAACGTTTGACGCTGACGTCGGACGCCGCGTATAGCGTATAATAGGAGACCGTAGCCTAAATGATTGTTTATAGATGTATATTTTTAACTCTTCTATCCCTATAAATAGGATTGGTTGGTCAAACGGTTAATTACCTCTTAAGGACATAATTTACCTTATTAATTACTTTTTATCACGATTTTTTCGGTAAATTCAATGTCTTAAATAATAAGAATTATGATTATTATTGTTGGTCTAATTAGAAACATGTTACTACTAGTCATATTTAGTAGCCAATTAAAGTTCATTTCCCTGTATGATATGATACAATAACCATTCAACACATTTGTGTACTCAAACTTGTGTGGAGTTTGTTGACATGACCTTGATGTTCTTAAATGAATATTGGATACATGTGGAAGCCAAATGGCTGAATATCTAACATAAACAAGTTGTCCACTTGGTTGAAATAGAAAAGACATGTACAAGTGACAGCACGTCAAGCTAAGCACGGTGGCCTCTTACGTATTAATTAATAAAGGCTATTTTGCAACAAAATTTATAGTTTGATGTGCTATCATCTGCTGTACAATAAACTCCTAAAAATGTAAGCTACAAATAAGTACTACACAAATCATGAGGGCCAGCAATCTTATCATTAACTCGAATGGAAAGCAACAACATTAGTATTTATAATCTTATCAAATGTTTGTTTCTGATAAAAATGTGTCATATCCACAAATTTTTCATAATTTTGTTTTATCAAAATATGAGAGAAATATTTTGTAATAACATTGATTAAATACTAGACATAAAGCACTTTTTCATGTTTTATAACATGTAATTAATTAATAATGCAATTATTTGTAGAAGCTTAGTTCATAGTTCGGAAATTCGACCTTATATCTTCGATATAAAGGTCAAAATGTAAATTTCATTTTAAGCTCATTAATATTCTAGCATTTCACAATCAATTTGTACACAAGCACAGACAGATATTATTATAATAAAAAAGTGACATTATGTAGCTCAGTAAGCAGTTGTGTTGATAATGTCTTTGTTTCCAACTGGAATTGTTTATAAATAAACATTGTAAACTTTATCTCATTTTGCCACACACACCAAAGTAAACAATACTAATATTTTCTATGACATCATAGTCACATAAGAACAAATGAGTCATAGATATTAACAGCTATTAAGTAAATTCACTATACTAGTTATAAAGATCTATTATGGTGTTCATTCATGTCATGGTCAGGCAACCTAAATAAGGCCAACAATTTATGCACTAGAAAATCCTCAAGAGTTGGAGCTTACTGAGAAAATTCCTATCAAACTACTAAGCGAAAATGTTAATGTGCTCAAGCATTGAATCTAGACTTTCCGCTCTATAAAACATATATTTTATTGTTCAATTAATTTTTCTCATTATAAATGCAAGAGGAAAATCAATGAGGGAAAGCAGAATGCAGTTTCTAGTTGAATGCATTATCACATAATGCTTAAAAAACAAAAGTAGTTCACATAGCTCTGCCTTATGCAATTGAGTGGTGAAACAGTATGAGTTGTGCTGTACGACCTGTATTTACACAAGAAACATGATTGATGTGTAAAAATGCATTGTTTACATTTTTTCTTCTTTAACAAGGTCATAAAAAACAATATAAATAAAACATACTCTATCTAGTAAAAGGTAATGCTTTCACCTTCATCGTTAAAAGTTTTAACAACTTATTTAATCATACTTCTGTTCCCTTTCCACAGGTTTTTGACTGCATTGTAAGACTAATTGTAATATGTACATTTTATAATTTAGGATATTACAAGATGAATATAGTAAAAAATATCCATATATTACCAGACTCTGTTTCAGTGAGGAGTTCTCCATATACCCTCTTAAGGAGCTCATCTGCTCCATGCTCTTCTAATTGCTTGTAGAACTTCAGTGATATACTAACCTGGAAATATAGGGATATGAAAATATGTGTAGTAAATATTGACAATAGTGACAGTAAAATTAGGCTTTTAAGAAGCGCTATTACAATATAGTTTATTTACAGTACAGTATTTATGAGACCAATGAACGTTATTTTTCACAACTGATTAAAGTTATGTAAGGTCTATCTAGGTATATCAAAGAGATGTTTCAAATGTGTACTAAGTTGATACTTACTCTAACTTTGGTTTTATCTCCATTGACATTTGATATATGAAAGAGAACTCCATCAAAGTCTGCAACCGTAACATCAATGGACTCAGGCTTTAAACTGAAAAGAATTAAAAGTTCATAAGTATGTGATGATAGTCATCATACTGTTGATTGTATACTGTGGTAAACAACTCCTTCCCTAACAGAATTGCCAGAGTACTAGCACAATTCAGAGGCAGTTTGGAGCTTGTTTACTGCCAATGGAATCCGAAAACATTTTATAGGACGTTTCCGCACCCACCAGCCGCTAATAAACAACCGATATGAGTCATCCGTGCTGAGATAGGCACTACCGCCGCCGCGTCACCCTCCAACTAAACCTAACAGGAATCAGTTTTCCTGCTTGTAAATATAGTTTTCGAGCTGTGGGAGCGATAATAAGTGTAATGCGGCGGTCAACGTGGGCCCACCCAAGAATTTGACACTTGTCAAGTTACTCCCAAAAGGGGGTTATAGCCGAGACATCCCTCACTTGAAATGCAATTTTTCATACAATTTTCGCATGTAGTACATTTAAACACTCCGTACACATTAACAACACATCACGAACTATAAAAAACAGTACACTTTCTAAGCGTAACGTACTCACCGCGCCAGTGCATTTTTATATTTCACAGTTAGCGTTTCTTCTATAATTCTATTATTGATCTCGAGTAAGATCATTATTTATAATTTTATAACCTACGGCTTTTTCATAAAATCAACGTCTATAGCACCTTCATTTAATAATTTATACGGAAATCTTCAACGATGACCGCCCGTGTATATCCATAAACGACAGAAAGAAAAGGAAGCTCGGAATGAATGAAATATCGGCCATGTAACCATAGACAAACTACTAAAAGTCAAATCGAACAGATTTTTTGAAAATCATCATCATCACTATCATCATCAAATGAATTTTCTGTCACTTCACTTCACTGAAACTTGTGATCATCATTTTGCAATTGGTTCTTATTTGGACTAAAAGATTTTCAAATGATATGTACCGGTTGTGATATAATTTAGTCGATTATACCGATAAGTACAGCACTACTTGACAATTATTCTTCAAAAAAAAAAATTAGAAAATAGTTTATGGTTAGCATGCGGATGGCTGAGCTTTGTTTATTTATTTTTATGAAAATAATTATGATAAAACGCAGTTGTTAACGTGTAATAGTTTACCAACTTCTTACACAATAATGTGATCGTAAAAGTATAACCGTGTGTGACAAATAAAACATTGCAAAAATGTCGAACCAAGTTGTCCAGTTTGTAGCTGGACTGAAGTCCAGAAATGTTGATATACAGATAAAGACTGCCCGTGAACTTTATCATTTTGCTAAGACAGAGTTACGGGAAGTTCCACAAGAAGAACTAACACAGTTCCTAGATGAGTTCAATCACCAAATCTTCGAGATGGTATCCAGCAACGATGTTCACGAAAAAAAAGGCGGTGTTTTGGCTATTGGTACGTAGTCTCACAAATTCGCATATTTACGCTTTGAAACCGATATTATGTAAATCTAGTTTACTCAGAACCATCTCCTATCTCAGGTCTTACTTTAGTTATATCTACCTACATACCAAAAAAGATTTATGTATTAATATTAACTATCGTCATTGTTACAGTTTGTCTCATTGGAGGTGACTGTGATACGACAAAAACACGAATCACCAGATTTGCTAACTACTTGAGAAACCTACTGCCTTCCTCTGATGTGGGGGTTATGGAACTTGCAGCCAAGACTGTTGGTCGGCTAGCAACAGTGTCTGGTGTAAAACGTGCAGAGTATGTGGAGTTTGAGGTAAAAAGAGCCTTTGAGTGGCTCTCGGAAGAGAGAAATGAGGGCAGACGACACTCTGCTGTCCTTCTGTTGAAAGAACTTGCCATAGCTATGCCTACTTATTTTTATCAACAAGTATCAGGATTCTTTGACCATATACTGACTGCTTTAAAGGACCCAAAGCTACAGATCAGGGAAGCTGCTGCTAAAGCTTTAAGGGCAGGCTTAGTGGTCACTGCTCAAAGAGAAACAGCCAAACAGTCGACTTCACGACCTCAGTGGTATATGCAGTGCTATGAGGAAGCTATGATGTGTTTTGAAGATATAACTCTTAAAGAAAAAGGTATCACCAAAGAAGAAAGAGTCCATGGTGGACTTTTGATACTCAATGAACTGTTAAGATGTGCAAATGCATCTTGGGAGAAAAAGTACACTTACCTCATGAGTAGCCTGGACACACAGAAGGATATCACAGTGTCAGATGATATCATTTTCATTAGCACCAAACTCCACAGTTTATCTGTGAAAAGAGGATATTTATGTGATGGTTTAAAGACTGAAAATGTTCAGTATCCAGTTCCTATTTACGAATCTGAGGTTTGCCGGAAGCTGCTTTCTGAGAAATTTGAAAGAATTTGTCAAGGTAAGCTAGTAGAATGATTATTATTAATTAACAAGTAATAATAATGTAGGTATCCTAATTTAAAAATATTCCATGGTATTTTCAGATGTAATGGCACAGCGTCAGTTGAAGACTCAAGGAGTACCACAGGTTCTACTTATCATAATTCCAAGACTGGCAGCTTTCTCCAAAGAATTCTTCTGCAAGAAATACTTGAGCTCTACCATGCATTATTTACTTGCATCTTTACGAGGGAGAGAGAAAGATAAAAATATGGCCTTCACAACTCTAGGCCTTTTGGCAGCAGCACTTGAAAATGATATTCATATCTATATTCCTAGAATAATGGATGTCATTAAACAAGCTTTGCCTGTTAGAGATACCCAAAGCAAAAGAAGAATGTTTATTGATCCATCAATTTTTGCTTGCATCACTTTATTAGGAAGTGCAGTTAAAGATCTAGTGATGACTGACATAAAGGAGCTCTTAGAAGCCATGTTTACCACTGGCCTAAGTCCTTCATTGACAATATGTTTGAAAGAACTCAGTCAAAATCTACCATCCCTTAGGGAAGAAATTTCAGAGGGCTTGCTGAATATGCTTTCTTTGGTTTTGAGGAATAAACCATTTTTGCATCCAGGAGTACCTAGAAGTGTAGAGCAACAGAGCAATATGAGCCTGGTTATAGAACCTCAGGATACAGCCTGCATAGTATTGGCCTTGAGAACCCTTGGTAGCTTTCAGTTTGAAGGTCAGCACAGCCTCCTGACGTTTGTTAGAAGGTGTGCTGATCATTTCTTACAAAGTGACCAACAGGAAATAAGACTAGAAGCTGTCAAAACATCTGCCAAGCTGCTGGCTGATGCCACAGAAAGGACTATGAAAACTCCATCTAAAACTCTAACCACGCTCACTGCAGAGGTCATTAGCAAGTTGCTAGTTGTATCAGTGACAGATCCAGATTATGAAGTGCGTTACTGGGTTTTGGAATCACTCCATGATATTTTTGACACACATCTAGCTCAAATTGAAAATCTGAGTTTCCTGTTTATAGCTATGAATGATGAACATTTAGAAATCCGAGAATTAGCTATTTGCACTATTGGAAGATTGAGTACAGTGAATCCAGCGTACGTCATGCCTGGCCTCAGAAAGACATTAATACAGTTTTTGACTGAACTGGAACATTCTGGAATGAGCAGAAACAAGGAACAGGCGGCAAGAATGCTGGATAACCTCATTTTGCATGCACCAAAACTGGTAAAACCCTACATGGAAACTATTTTGAATGTGTTGGTTCCCAAACTAAAGGAGTCTGATTTGAATCCAGGGGTAGTGATCAGTGTGCTAAAAGCAGTGGGAGACCTTGCTGATGTGCATGGTGATAACAGTGGCCTGAAGAAGTGCCTGCCTGAACTGCTCACTATACTGCTAGAGCTGTTGACTGATGCCAGTGCCACAGAAAAGAGAAGTGTAGCACTCTGGACTTTTGGCCAGCTGATCAGTGCCACTGGGCATGTTGTCACTCCTTACACTGAGTTTCCTAGCCTAATGGATGTCTTGCTGAACTTCCTAAAAACAGAACAACAACCTAAAGATAGAAGAGAGACGATACGCGTTCTAGGCCTATTGGGTGCCCTCGATCCTTATAAACAGAAGATGACGCGAGGCTTGATTGACGGCCAGCCAGATTCCAGTTTAGTGCCTGTCGCCGATAGCAAGGCAGAGGAAAACAATTTTGATATGACTACAAGTGAAATGTTGGTGAACATGCCTTCACCCGTTCTCGATGAGTACTATCCGGCGATAGTTATATCGACGCTGATGAGAATATTGCGCGACCCGACCCTACAGCAGCACCATACGAGCGTGGTTCAGGCTGTTACATTTATATTCCAGTCTCTGGGCATCAAATGCGTGCCCTATATTTCACGAGTCACTCCCAGTCTACTGTATGTAGCCAGAGCCACTGAAAACAACAATTTCCGTGAATTTCTCTTCACTCAACTGGCTAAGTTGATCGCTATTGTAAAACAGCACATTCGAAATTATTTGGACAAGATATTTGATCTCATAAAAGAATTCTGGACACCTAACAGTCCTCTGCAGTCCACATTGATCCTGCTGGTGGAGCATATCGCTATAGCTCTAGGCTCAGAGTTCAAAGTGTATTTGCCCCAGCTGATGCCGCAGATTCTTCGTGTCCTCGCTCACGACACGAGCAAGGAAAGGTTTGTGACGGAAAAGCTGTTGTACGCTCTTCAAAAGTTCGAAGACAACTTGGATGACTACATGCATCTGATCATTCCATCTATCGTGAAGTTATTTGATGCAACAGACTGTCCTATAAATGTCGCCAAAGTGGCCATGGAGACTATAGACTATCTGACGGATTCCCTGAACTACAATGAGCTAGTTTCGAGGATAATTCACCCTCTGGTGCGAAGTTTGGACACCTGTCCCGCGCTCCGGCCGACCGCTATGGACACGCTCTGCGCGTTGATCGTCCAGCTCGGTCGCAAGTTCAACGACTTCATACCGCTCGTACAGAAAGTGGTTCAGAAGCACCGGATTCAGCATCAGAATTATGAGTTACTGATGTCGAAAATGCAGTCCAGTCAGACATTTTCGATGGACGAGTTTCTGCAAAGCACGAGACGAAAGCCAAGAAACAACAATCAGGAGGTAAATATATTTACATTTCTAGCGTTTTTTAAACACTTGCTGCTGGCTGTATGTAATGAAGTATGAATAGACGATTTGACACCATTCGATCCACCATCACCATCACCATCTTGGTCTTAAGAACTTAATTTTAAATTACCTGTAAATTATGATGTTTTGTTGGTTGTATTGTAATGAGGGTTTTCGCGTATGAAAGATCCGCTGGATGGCGGGACGTGGTTGTGGGGTCTGACTGCTGCGGTGGATTTTGACATATCTGTCAATGTCATGTCAAAAATAACCAATCATGCAGCATTTGGACCTTGCGTCTACGTATTGCCATCTGGCGGATTTTTCATACGCGAAAACCCTCATTGGAAAAAGGAGTTTGAGTTGACAAAATAGTGACATCACTTACTTGTATTGCCATACAAAATCTATGGGAGTCTCGTTTTGTCAGTTTTACATACGTCAATTGATTGGTGGTGTCAACACGTCTATAGATGACCCACGCTGAACTGTCCCACCAAACTCAATGCCCCTGTCATTGCGCTACCATCGTTCAACTATATGGTTTCCAACATGACAAAAATCGGAACCAGCGATCCGGTATTGACGGTGGCGCCACGCTGTCAATGTCATGGATAGGACAGTTCAGTATTTTGGAACTATACAGGGTGGAAACGTTATCGATTATTTCTAAACTATACAAGATATCAAAAAACTAGTTACTGATTCTAAAAGTGATTCACAAACTCTATCCAATGGTATCAATAATAGGTTACAGAATAAACTGGATCTAACCAAAAATTCAATGTTTCCTTCTTCCATACATTTAGTACTACCACAGTCATGACACTCGTCTCTTGACAATACTATGGCAAGTAAGGTCTAAAACCAATGTTTTCCATGAATAATTTTAAATAAGTTACGAGTTTATTTTAAGAGTTTATTATTAAATAAAAATAATTACACTTCTAATATTGTGTGACTGGCATACATTTAGTATGGAAGCTGGAAACACTGAATTTTCATATAGATCCAGTTTATTCTGTAACCTATTGTTAGTACCGTTTGAAAGAACTCATGAAGCCAGTGGCGGATTTACAAATTTGCCGCTAGTAGGCCATTCAATTTTTGCCGCCCCTACCTACTGACTTATGAAATTCAATACGTTAGTTTAATCCCGTTATTAGTATGATTGTGAACTTAATGATATTTCTGTCAGTTACTAGATTATTATTGCAACCCGCTATGTAATCAAGAGTTTAATGTTGACCTAAAAATAGCAGTATGTACTAATCCTAAGGTGGGCAAAGGCATGACTTAAAAATACCTACACTATATGAACACAGACAAAATAATGTGTGGTCAGTAAACATTGTTTTTGGTTTTCAATAGCCTGACCAGGAACATAAAAAAAAACCCTCGCCATGTTGCGGAAAATTAATGGTACTAATTTCGTTTAATGGCAACAGTAACTGAAAACTTCATTGACATGTCACCTTGCATGTCAGTCTATTGCTGTCAAAGTGTAAACAAACTTTATTTTAAATGTGCGCAATTGATTTTGTGAATTAAATTGCTAAAATCTTTTTATAGTCGTGAAAGAAAAGTGGTTCACAATGTGTTAAAGTATTTGTCGAAGAGAAATACTAAGGGTTCGGACAATATTTTCATTCAATAATGTTTCCGACAAAGGTTGTCAAATTGACTGACATGTTTATCGTATAGTACAGTCCACTATGAAAATTAGCTGTGGTTTGTTTCAACTACCTATTTTAAAGTTTTTTGTCACTTTGTAAGTATTGAATTTTATGGAATTGGGAAAGAAGTACCGAGTTTGAAGCGTTCATGAGCAGACATTGTAGTTGAATATTCAAGTTCAGAATTTGATTATTGATGAATAATAATAAAATCCTACTTGCTCGATTGATGGTTTCATTTAATTTATTTAAACCAGTTTACCTATATCCAGTGGCGGATTTACAAATTTGCCGCTAGTAGGCCATTCAATTTTTGCCGCCCCTACCTACTGACTTATGAAATTCAATACGTTAGTTTAATCCCGTTATTAGTATGATTGTGAACTTAATGATATTTCTGTCAGTTACTAGATTATTATTGCAACCCGCTATGTAATCAAGAGTTTAATGTTGACCTAAAAATAGCAGTATGTACTAATCCTAAGGTGGGCAAAGGCATGACTTAAAAATACCTACACTATATGAACACAGACAAAATAATGTGTGGTCAGTAAACATTGTTTTTGGTTTTCAATAGCCTGACCAGGAACATAAAAAAAAACCCTCGCCATGTTGCGGAAAATTAATGGTACTAATTTCGTTTAATGGCAACAGTAACTGAAAACTTCATTGACATGTCACCTTGCATGTCAGTCTATTGCTGTCAAAGTGTAAACAAACTTTATTTTAAATGTGCGCAATTGATTTTGTGAATTAAATTGCTAAAATCTTTTTATAGTCGTGAAAGAAAAGTGGTTCACAATGTGTTAAAGTATTTGTCGAAGAGAAATACTAAGGGTTCGGACAATATTTTCATTCAATAATGTTTCCGACAAAGGTTGTCAAATTGACTGACATGTTTATCGTATAGTACAGTCAACTATGAAAATTAGCTGTGGTTTGTTTCAACTACCTATTTTAAAGTTTTTTGTCACTTTGTAAGTATTGAATTTTATGGAATTGGGAAAGAAGTACCGAGTTTGAAGCGTTCATGAGCAGACATTGTAGTTGAATATTCAAGTTCAGAATTTTATTATTGATGAATAATAATAAAATCCTACTTGCTCGATTGATGGTTTCATTTAATTTATTTAAACCAGTTTACCTATAATATAATATTTTTTTGTTAATTTATGAAAATATTAATTAGCCTATAATCCTGAATCCTGATACATAAAGTTAGCCTATTAATTTAATACAGGTACGACTGTACTCAGTGTTGCACTATCAAATGCAATTGAAGCGCCTCTATGCCAGGGTTTTTATGTTCCTGGTCAGGCTATAAATATTTTTTAGTGGACTTTTTTTTTTTTTTCTCTTTATTTAAGGAGCTTTGTCAAGATGACAATGTCGCTCCATTAGATACAAACTTTAGGTACAATATATCTAGGTAATAATTTTAGGTACAATGTATTTGTGTCTTATAGTCTAAAATTGGGAGACTAAAAAGCTAGAAAAACACAGTATAAGGCTCTTGCCTTCTCCGACATAGGAGAAGCCAGGATGCTGTTGCATCTGCCGACCGAACACCCGTCAGGTTGGAACAGCTGAGACCTGGCTTGCCCGTTCCGGACACATTCCACCAAGACATGAACGACGTCTTCAATGACTCCACAGTCTTCACACAGGGGAGATGGTTCTAAGCCCATTAAATATTTGAACTTTCTAGTTGGAATGTGGCCGGATCGAAGTCTTAAAGCCAGAACAATATTTCGTCTACTCAACTCACAGTTGTCAAACCAAGGTATAATAAGAGGTTCAGGTTGTATCGTTTTATACCAGATGCCCTTTTCTTTGGACCTTATATCAAAATACTCCTTCCAAGCCTTATAACAAACGTCTTTAACCAGATATAGTCGGTCAGAATAGAAAGGTTGAACATCTAGTGTCTCTCCATTGCAGTAGGCTTGTTTGGCCAGTGCATCGACTTTTTCATTACCCGAAATCCCTACGTGAGAGGGGATCCATTGAAGTGTAATAGTTTTATAATTTTGTTTGGATTCCAAAAGTTGTTTGATGATCAAATATGCTATCGGTGTTCCTCGAATAGTCGAGGTACATCGAGCAATGTGTTGGAGAGCGCTTTTGGAATCTGTCAAAATAACAATTTTATCGTGGTTGAGAGAATTTGCATAAGATATAGCTTCGTTTATTGCCAAAAGTTCTATGTACATAATTGAGATATTAGCGTCAATTTTGAAACACATGTGTGAATTCTGTTGGGGGTCAAAAAATGCTGCACCAGCCTCATTACCCTCCTTGGATCCATCTGTGAATATCGGGTAGTATTCTGGGTATTCACAATTTAAATATTCTATACAGAGTTTGTTTAAAGATAGAGGGTTATATGTTCTTTTTGATAATTTAACATTTTTAATGTCGTGTCTTAAGTTATTTCCTAGATCAATAGAAGTTATCCAAAAATCAAAACTGAACATTTCTAGGTTATTGCTTACATGTATTTGTGTTGATTTAAAAAGGTCGTGAGTTAGTATTATAATTGGTTTGTTTTTTCTGTTCCATTTATTAATGTGAGAAGAGAGTTCGTCGATTAACGTGAATGTTTTGTTGTTGTATCGTAAAGATTTACATTTTAAATAATATTTTCCCGCCAGATAGAGTCTACGTGCATGTAAAGGTTGTAAGCCCAGTTCGCTTCCCATAACGTGAATAGGAGTTGTTTTAATAAAACTGCCAATAATTCGCATAGCCTGATTTTGGATCTTATCCAGCTTATTCAAATTAGTTTGACAGCTGTCACCAAAAAGAAACCCGGCATTATCCATCCGACTTCTGAGGAGAGATATGTACAACCGTCTTAAATATCGAGGATGAACACCCCAGTTGGCTCCTGCTCCCGCGCCGCACGCGAAATTATGCTTTGTTGGCGCGGTGGCGGCGCGGAGGCGGTTTTACTCGGTGCGTATGAACAGTGTAGCGGCGCGGCGACGGCGCGGCGGCGGCGCGGTGGCAGCGTCGTGTGCAGGAGCCCTTAGAGTTACCCCAAAAATTTTCTTTAAATTGCAATAGTTAAAGTTCTATAAAAATGTAGGTACAGTTTTCAAAGTCAATTTTCTTCTGGGCCACCCTGTATTACCAAGCCTTGGACTTTCTGTTTACCTTTAAGTAGTTCTTAGCTAATTATACTGGATATAGCACTTCGCATGGCTCTGTGCACATTCAGGTGAGAAGCTTTTCTTGCTTAAAACGGGTTAAAAACTATCTACGATCTACTTTAAGTCAAGAAAAGCTTATAGGTCAGTAGAATTAAACACAAAAATGAATTAAATCGGAAATAATTCCTACTAAAGATTTAAGTGCTTTAATGGCTTCATTAGTTGCCCATAAAGACTCTCCTAGGTTTTCGACTTCGACAGAGTTGTGCTTAAGTAGTAGGGGCCCCCGAAAGGGGCGCTTTTTCGGTTTTCCGGTTATACCGCGTAAAGGACTTACCCTATCGAAAAGTGGTCTTCCTGACGGTTGAAGGGCATTTAATCCTGCATTAAATAAGACCAAATTCATATGTTTTGAACAAACCGCTCTCGTGCAAATGTTCGGCGGCGGCGCCGGCTGCGCGGCAGCGGTGTTCACGCGGCGCGTATAAACAGTGCAAAGGCGCGGCGTATAAAGATAGTAAATTTTAAAATAAATTGCACTAAATTTCCTTTAAATTGCAATAGCGTTCTACAAAAATGTACAGTTTTCGTTTCCTTGAATTTTCAAAAGTGAATTTTCTTCTGGGCTACCCTGTAAAACAATATACACGAAGTTGTGGAGAGATGGTGCTCGTGCTAGGCTCCGAAGATCCTATGTTACTTAAGAGTTTTTTATTTTATTTTTATTGAAACGCTATTGGAATATTTTAAAATTCATGATCACATAAGTATATATTACAGTGCGTTTATTAGTCGTTTATTTATATATGGATTGTGTAGGTATACGTATAATTATTTATTTTTTTTTCTGTAAAAAAATTTGCTAAATTTGCCGCCCCTCTAAATCTGCCGCCCTAGGCACTGGCCTACTTGGCCTATTGGTAAATCCGCCACTGCATGAAGCACTTTCAGGATCAGTAACCAGTTTTTCAATATCTTGTATAGTTTAGAAATAATCGAGTGAGATCACTTAACGTTTCCACCCTGTATTTTGATGAATAATTGTGAGTATTTGTCACTGTGCAGGCGCGCATAGTGGTGAGCGACGCGTCACAGTCGATCCGCAAGCTGTGCGTGAACGCGCACAGCCTGAAGCTGGCGTGGACGGTCAGCAGCCGCGTGTCCAAGGACGACTGGCTCGAGTGGCTGCGCCGCTTCAGCATCGGCCTGCTCACCGAGTCGCACAGCCCTGCCCTCCGGTAACATTACTAACCTAAGATAAAACTAAAAATTGTATTGCTGTTGGTTTTCTTAATAAAAATAAAAAAAAACAAGAAATTCTTGCACCAAAACAACATTTTCTGCAGCGTAGAAAGCCAAAAGAGCCTCCGCTAAAATTTTAGCGGGTGCACGTTGCCTACTGCGGGCGCATGCCGCGGTTGTGCATTTCCATACGTTAACTACTTGCGAGTTTTGGTGGAGCCTTAAAAAGTCAAAAGTGACGTCATAACCTGTCTTTCCAGTGGGCTGAGTGTGAATTTACATCTAACGCGCTCACAAAATGTATGAAAATTTTAGTTTCTGAACGTTTCCCGCTAGGGGCGCTATACAATCCGTCATACGTTTAATGTCATTTTTTGACGCGTTCACCCACCAGTGAGCGCGTTTGATGTAAACTCGCACTAGGCCTCGACTCTGTTCCTATATTCCTAGTGACAGTAGCATTTTGATAGTTCTGTCCTAAAATCCATCTACCAAGGCTGCTCAACCTTTTGACGATTCGGGCCAAACGGTGGATTTAGTCGTTAACGACGGGCCACTAATATTTCTGACAGCTAACTTCAGAGAGTGGTTTGGTGCGTATTTTCAAACCATACTTGCGCGGACGGACCACTTAAAATTCTTTCGTGGGCCACAGAGTGGTCCGCAGGCCTTGGGTTGAGCAGCCTTGATCTAAACGAAGCTTATAAATTATTTTCTTCACAGTGCCTGCCTGGCTCTCGCGCACAACTACTCGCAGCTGCTGCGCGATTTATTCAACGCGGCATTCGTATCGTGCTGGACGGAGCTGGACGCGCCCGCGCGCGCCGAGCTGGCGGCCGCGCTGCAGCAAGCTCTAACTGCGCCCGACGCGCCGGAACTGGCGCACACGCTGCTCAACCTGGCCGAGTTCATGGAGCACTGCGACGCCGGCGCGCTGCCCATCGCCACGCAGCTGCTGGGCGAGCGCGCCATGCACTGCCGCGCCTACGCCAAGGCGCTGCACTACAAGGTATTCGTTTGACTGCTAGGGGCGCCAAGGCGCTGCACTACAAGGTATTCGTTTGACTGCTAGGGGCGCCAAGGCGCTGCACTACAAGGTATTCGTTTGACTGCTAGGGGCGCCAANTAACATTTTTAATGTCGTGTCTTAAGTTATTTCCTAGATCAATAGATGTTATCCAAAAATCAAAACTAAACATTTCTAGGTTATTGCTTACATGTATTTGTGTTGATTTAAAAAGGTCGTGAGTTAGTATTATAATTGGTTTGTTTTTTCTGTTCCATTTATTAATGTGAGAAGAGAGTTCGTCGATTAACGTGAATGTTTTGTTGTTGTATCGTAAAGATTTACATTTTAAATAATATTTTCCCGCCAGATAGAGTCTACGTGCATGTAAAGGTTGTAAGCCCAGTTCGCTTCCCATAACGTGAATAGGAGTTGTTTTAATAAAACTGCCAATAATTCGCATAGCCTGATTTTGGATCTTATCCAGCTTATTCAAATTAGTTTGACAGCTGTCACCAAAAAGAAACCCGGCATAATCCATCCGACTTCTGAGGAGAGATATGTACAACCGTCTTAAATATCGAGGATGAACACCCCAGTTGGCTCCTGCTACTATTTTTAAAATGTTTATCAGTTTAGTTGTTTTTTCCGCTACTTCATTAATGTGTTTTCCCCACCTAAGAGAGCAATCTAGCCATAATCCTAGATATTTAACAGAGTTCGCCAGTGGTATGTCAAAATTGTTAATTTTGAGAGAGATGTTTTCCCTATTTATACCTTTTTTAAATATACAAACTTTGCTTTTAGTTGGTGAAATTTCGAGACCTAAACTTGCTAATAGTGTGCTGATTTGGTTAAGAGAGCGTTGTAAATGTTTAACTGACTCTTGAGAACTCTTTTCAGAAGCATAGAGAACAAAGTCGTCTGCATACTGGGATATGTGTACATAGTTGTTATTAATTTTTTTACAAATGTCAATAGTAGCAACGTTAAATAATAGAGGTGATAATGGGTCGCCCTGAGCCAAACCACGTCCAGAAGTACGGGTAAAACTTGTGTTATTTACTTCAATTGTGAGACATCTGTCTCTCAAAAATTCCCATAGATACGAACATAGATTATGCCCTGTACCTAGGTCATCGAGTTTCAACAAGAGGCTAGTTGTATCAACATTGTTATAGGCATTATCGATATCGATAAAACAGCTAATTGTCTTTTGGTTTAAACAGAATCCCTTTTGGATAAAGCTCACTAGGCGACTCAGACTGTCAATACACGATCTACTCTTCCTAAAACCCACAGTGTCTTCCGAAAACATATAATTTTTTTCGAGGTACCACTCTAATCTTTTTTGTATAATCGAATGAAAAATTTTGCATAGGCATGATAATAACGATATAGGTCTTAAGGCAGAATCTGAAAATGGGTCTCTTCCTGGTTTAGGAATAGGGATGATTCTAATATTGCGCCATTGTATTGGTACAAACCCATGTAAATAGAACCTGTTATACAGCTGCACCAAAACAAGTTTGGCATTCTTTGGCAAATTTTTAATCATAGAGAACGATATATCATCAATACCCGGAGCCGAGTCCTTATTTTTAATACTTTTACTTAACTCTGTTAAAGTGATAGGCGAGTCTAAAGTTACGTTAACTGATTGAAATATTGGCTTATCCGGATTAACAGAGTCAGGGCACAGGTTATGTAACAACTGACTGGCTTTACTATCATCAACGTGTTGCCTGGGATTCCTGTGACCCTTCATCCATCGCATTTTGTTCCACAAATCAGTAGCAGATGACCTCTCATCTAGAGAGGAGCAAAATGCGTGCCATGCCTCTCTTTGAGTGTTCCTCAGTAGTTTTTGAGATTCGCTAATTTTACTTTTCAAATGTATTAAATTTTGAGGAGTAGGATTGCGTCTGAACCTGGACAGTGCCAATCGCCGACATGCTACTGAGTGGGATAGCTCCGGGGTCCAATACGATTTAGGTCTAAATTTGCTACTAGGGTTAAGATTCGTTTTAGTATATGGAATGTATTTCTCTGCCGCGTTCTGAATGCAATAGACTAAGTTATTATATGATGTTTGAAGATCTTCGGCGATGTTAAAATTGTTGAGTGTATATTCCAAATGAGAAGAGTATCCCTCCCAGTCTGCTTTCTTAAAATTTCTTTTTTTTTTAAAGCCGTGTTTTTTGAAAAGGATGTGCATATTTTTATAATTAGATGATCGCTTCCTAGTGTCTCGTTAGTCACTGACCAAGAAAAGTTAAGTGCAACATCTGCAGATGCTATAGTTAAATCTGGGGCTGATTGTCTTAAAGTATTATCAACCAATTGCAAACGAGTAGGGCTGCCGTCATTTAGCACAATAAATCCGTTGTCTATTGCAGAGTCTAGTATTTGGGAGCCCCGAATGTCTGTTTTATAAGACCAATTAGTGTGGTGGCCATTAAAGTCCCCTAGTAAGATAGTCTTATTACTCCGAATTGTGAATATTGAGTCCCATACTCGTTGGTTAACTTGGGCGTCCGGGGGGCAGTATAAAGCAATTACACTCTCTATTCGATCACAATTAAACAGTTTGACATGCACTATCTCTATACTAGACCCAATATTACTTATTTGGATTTGTTGTGCTTGAACGGATCTGTGTGTTATTACGGCCACGCCCCCGCCGGGTGTGTCCCTGTCACTGCGAAAGATATTAAAGTTACTAATATTCAGAAGGGCATCTGGATCCAACCAAGTTTCAGAAATAGCAGCTACGTGTATGTTATCTCGGATTAACAACTGTTCTAAAGATCTAATTTTTGGTTTTAGACTACGAGAATTCCATTGAAATAAATTTAAATTGGCAACATTATTCAGCGGGCTACCCATTTAAAGAGTTGAAAAAGTTAGTTATGTTAGAGAAATTGGGTATTAAGTTTTTAAAAAAGTTATTAATACAGTCAATAATAATCTTTAGCCATACTTTAAGAGTTGCCACTAGTCCGTTGTTCTTGTCTATGATAACTTGTTTCAGTTTTCGTAATAGTTCTGTAAATGATGAGGGCTTGTCCTGTTGTTGGTGTCCTATTATGGGGGTTGAGTTCGGCGGTCCACCCGACGAAGGTGACTCGTCGTCGTGGTCAGACGTCATCTCAGAGTTTGTTATTTCTATATCAGCCACTACATTTTCGCTCAGATAGAATGGAGTTTTCTTCTTCTTTTTTTTCTTCCGTTGAAGTCGTCTGTTCTTATCAACGTCCATACGAGTCATGTCGTCTGAGTCTGGTTGTGTATTTTTTTGCAGTACTTCAGCATACGATGGCGAGAGACTTGAGGGTTGATTCGACGCAGCTTCTGTGATACAGGGCGTGTAAACATGAGTTTCTTGGGTTGGAGTAGCTTCAATTAAATTGGGCTGAGGCGAAGGAGGAACGTAGATAGAGATGGCTTTTTGGTATGTGCAATTATATTCAGACATAAGTTCTCTAATTCGTTTTTCTCTTTTGTATATAGGGCAATTTTTCGATAGTGCCATATGTCCACCTGAGCAATTGACACATTTGTATGTCTTCGTTTGACAGTTAGAATGGTAATTGGCGCACTTAGGGCAGATGATTTTGTTCGCCGGGCAAAGTTTTTGTGAGTGACCATATCTCCAACATTTTGCACATTGCGTTACTGGAAAAACGTACAAGTCTACTTTTATTTTTACGTCAAATAGATAGACATAGTTGGGTGTGGAAGGGCCTTTAAATCCTATTCTGATAGTCTCGCTGAAGGTCCAACCATCCGCGTTTTTCCTGTTCAGTCTTTTTAGTGATACAATCTCTTTATCAGAAATTAAGTATTTACCTAATTCTTCCTCTGACAGTTCTAAATCTATATCTCTAATAATTCCGTACGAGAGACCCACTTCTGAAGTTTTTTGTCTTCTCCAATTCAAATTGTCAAACACCGAGCAAGACAAAAATTTATCAGCACTTGATTCGTTCTCAAAATTCACAAGTATTTTATATGGGTTTACATATTTTACTTTAATGACGTCAGCGATGTTATTTTGTTGTAGAAGTTTTGCTAAAGCAAACTGTTTCGGTAATTTTTCCTTTGATGTAACACATATTTGTATCGGTAAATGTTCGGGACCAAATTCTGATTGTGTTCTAGCTTTCTTTTTAGAGTTCCTAGAAACTGTAGTCCATATTTCCTCTTCATTATTCTCCCTTAGTCGTTTTGTTATTCGTCCGTCTTCCAAATCCATGTTATTCTCCTCTAGTTGTGTTATGTCCGCTACAATATCTTCTAAAATATCAGTGTTATTTCCGCGCTCACTGCAATCCAGTTCGCATTCACTCGCCATTGGATATAAGGTTCATAATTGAACCTTACTACTCGAATAGTACACGGCCGGCACGCAGCTCGATTGCCGCCGCAAGCGCAGGCCGATAAGGAACCGGTTCTTTGACTGTATCCCGAGCGTAAACAGGTGACGCGTTCGGCTCGTAACAGATGTGCACGGCAACTGAATGGCCGATTATGATCAAAATGTCCGGACGAATATGGCAGGCAAAAATCCTTTTTATAATCGGCTTACAACAAAAATTACCTACTCTCACGTTCTAGTTTTATTAAAGAGAAATATTGGGAACATTATTCCTCTTTTGTAAACAGTTTTGAGGCAATTTCAGTAATAATATGTACTTACACTCCGTTGCAGTGCGGTTTTGTTCGAAGCACATGATGTCATGCCCTGCGTGCCCAAACGCAGGAAGATTTAATGAAGGTTACTTACAACGCCACTCTTGTATCGGAGATTTGGGCTGACACTATGTAGGTTTGTTGACGACACGACAAGAAGAATAGACATCGGTATAGCATGAATATTTATTTAAACCAATTAATAATACAAAGCCATAATCTATATACTTATAATAAATCTGTAGAGAGGTCAATTCTGTACATGAAATATGTTTTCAAAATAACTATCAGGGGGTGATTAGTGATCGATAATTCGATACTGATGCCAAAAATGCAATCAGTAAAAATTTTGTCTGTCTGTCTGTCTGTCTGTCTGTCTGTCTGTCTGTCTGTCTGTCTGTATGTTCCTTATAGAAACAAAAACTACTTGACGGATTTTAACGAAACTTGGTACAATTATTCTTCGTACTCCTGGGCAGGTTATAGGATACTTAGGAATTCCCACGGGCACGGGAATTAGCGGGAAAATCCTTTTGTATGAAAAATCTAAACTGCTTAAGTTAGACGCTTGAAAGGATGATGGGCACAAATGTATGGAAAGTGGTACCCGCTCCAATAGCCATAACCAATATATATTTTAAAAGGCCTTTAGATGTAGGAAAATGTCTGCTATGGGGCCAGTTCTAATTCACGTTTTGAAAGCAGTAATTCCACTAAGTATTATAATGAAAGTANTGCAAAATTCCCACGGGAACGGGAGTTAGCGGGAAAAAACATTTGTATGAAAAAATCTAAACCGCGTAAGATAGATGAAGGGGGTAAAACGGGATCCACGCGTACGAAGTCGCGGGCGGCCGCTAGTATCAAATATAGTCATACAAATCGTTTTAGAATACAGTAAAAATCATTATTCATCAACTTTAATGTACACTTGGAAAGTAATGCCACCATCTACAATATAGTGTTCAGTGGGATCTAGTAATTTAGATACTTCGATGAATTTCTTATATCCCCAGTTAGGTGTTGCACTACGAGTACTGTCGAACGTCTGTGTAAATTTATCCGAGAACATTGATTTCTCATTTTTGGTACTAACCAGGCTAAATTCCACTTCTGCCTTGCACGACTTTTTTTCAGTCTCACTTTCCCAAATAGAATAAGCAAAAATTCCTAAGTATTTTACAGAGTCTTCGACTGAAAATTGGATGCCAATTTTCCATTTCAAGTTTTGTAACTTACATTTCGAAGACCATGCTTTTCCCATTTTATTTGCCAAATTTTCAATGTCATCTACCTTGAATTGAAATTTCACTTCTGGCATAAGTTTAATGATAGATACATTCGACGTTGTTCTTGGATCCCTTCTCAAAGAAAACCCTTCTGGAAACGGCACCGTTGTTTTATCAGAAGCTATGTTAGCAAGTATCGCACACGCTTCAGATGATGCCAGGATAGTAGTAGAAGCTCGACCTTTTTCGAACTCCTCCGGAGTCAGGGAGAGGAAACGTATTTTTTCCAAAATGCTTCGTATAGAAAGATCTTTGTTGGCATAATCACATTTGGAGATATGCTTGGCGTATCGATCAGCTGCTTCCAGAAGATCCAACTCGCTGTCAATTTCTAGGACTTCCTGCGAGAATAATGCTACCACTACATCGAGACACGCTTCTTCAAAACTGCTATCAGCGAGCACTGCTTTTGTTTCAGTCCTCATCATTGTTTCACATTTCTTCTTTAGATCTTCGGCATCATTGGAGTCATTAGCAAAACTGTAAGCTTGGAGTACATTTTTAACAGTCAGGTTTTGAGAGATATACTCACAGCACTTCTTTAACAAATGCGGCATTTGGTAGGCCTTTGCGGCTGCAGCTAGTCCAAAAACTGTATTTCCGGTTCCGTCCAATGAATCCAAATAAATGTATTTTAGCATGGACTGAAAAATTTCTGGTTCAACATCAGGAAGGGTTACTTTAGGTTGGTCAGCTCCATCAGTTTCGAGTTTTTGGTGAAGTACCGAAGATGCTGCCGACAATATGATCTTGTGTCCTGTCACTGGTTGTTTCTCTTTTCCCACGAGTAATGTGCAGTCAGCCAACACTTTTGTGTCAAATAAATGCTTCAGACGGCTCTTCGAGTCCGTCATTTCTGATTGCCAAGACGTAGACATATTGAATTTCAATGAATGAATGAATATCTAGACAAGCAAAGGCTTTTTATACTGCGCCCGGTAGGTACTTCAGTGGTAGCTTTGTTGATAATATTATCTCTACCCACTTCCGCCCTTCACCACTATTGATAGTAATGCAATCTATGCACAAATTATCACGTCTAACCACAATTGATATAAATTATTTATTATGAAAATATTGAGCTAATTAACAAATTACGAGTATCACAAACATCGCGGAGATGGCACATTATGTAACGAGTTAGACATAATGGTTTAATATCAACGAGTAATTATTTATATTTTCTGGGAATAGGCATTTATAAAGCGCTTTTACAGGTCCCAGTATTACTTTAACTGCTTCCGGACAATAAAGGAGCCAGTTGAAGCACTGAGAAGAAGCAGCTAAAGAAACTCAGTCACTTTTCTAATCTGCGTTATCCACACAAGCTTTCAAAATGTGACATAATCAAATGTATTAATTCTTGAGGTCCTCGAAATAACTCCTTCCACCGCAGGCAGTCAGACCTCGTTAGCTTCGCCCTTGACATGTAATTATTGTAAGTGTACCGTCAGCAGAATAGTCGGCGAAGGAAGTTTCATGATAATAAGATTTGCGGGGATGGGCTTTGAAATACTTTCTTTGATGTAATTTTCATATTTGTTTGTTGGCTATTTTTGCCTACGCTATTCACCTTGTCTTTGCCGACATTTGATTAATTTAAGAAACGTCCAAAATAAAAGCAATCCCTGGCCAAAAAGATTTCAGTGGGATGAAAATCGATGATTTGACTTTCAGAACATCTCATGGAACCCTTATTGTATGCAGAACAAGGAAAGTATTTGACCCCAATCGCACCTGATGTTAATTGAGATGCAGTCTAGGATGGTACGTAATATCTGCCCTGTAAGTGCTTAATAATATTATGTTACGGTCAAAGTGAAAATTATGAATAATCGCCGGTTATTATGAATAATTACCGCATGATTTGGTAAATGTGATTAATATGAGATCATTTATGTGTGTATAAAACTAAATAGGCGGCTTAGGGGTGGCCCAAGGGCCACCCCCGCCGCACCTTAACCTATTTTTCACTTTAAATCAAAACAATATGTTATGGCAAAGTAATGTTACGCAAGAAACAGTCCAAACTCATTATGCCAAATTATATTAATATATGATATCAAAACGTTCAAAATGTGTGGCTGTACACAAGCACTATCCATGAGCCATTGTTCTTTTATGATATTTCATAGTACTAAGGTTACATTATTAAATAATCACTGATAAATGTAATTCATTTATTACTTTTACCTCAACTGTCGGTAATTATTCATAATAACCGGCGATTATTCATAATTTTCAATTTATCACATTTACCGTAACACATATTCTCTCTCGCCTTGATTTCGCTCATCGTCGATAGATATTTGAATATATTATTTTGTCTCTCGATACGTTTGTATTTTGACAGTTTGTTTTCTAACCCTACACGCACGTCTGATTGCTGACATTCGCGTTTCATAGTTACATTCCTGGGAGGGTTGGTTATCCAAATAATATCCCATGGGACAGCGCCTTGACAATAAATTCGTGGACAGATTGAAAGCATTTGCCTGTCGCGTACACAAGATGACACTGGGTATTTCTATACAGGGCATCATTGCAAGCTATTGAGTCTGCCAGTTTTTATAATAAGCTATATTAACCTGCAACGCCCCTGGGACTGCGGGTGTCTATAGGCGACGGTAATCACTTACCACCAGGTAAGTTGATCCGTCTGCTCGTTTACCTCCTGTCACTTAAAAAAAAACAATATAATTATTATTAGTTGTATCAGTTGTAATAGCTAAGGCTTATGACTATGAAACTATCCAGTTAACTGTTGCGAAGATTTATCGTGATATACCATGAGTGTTTTGTATGAATTAAGCAAATCCACGTTTTTGTTTTTTTTTACGCAAATATTGATTTACTGATTCTGAATCGCTTCTAAAAGTTTGGTAACACAATGCAATGTCACCCTGTATAGCTCCTGACTAATATACCAGGCGGGTTTGATTCGTAGGCGCTACTTTTATTATTCGCGTAGTTCCTAGAATTAAGCACTTACTTAGTGGATAAAAAAAACTACACCAAAAATATTATGTATGCCACATTTGATGTGTTGTGGTGTGTAATTTTGGACTTATTACGTTTCTTTTATAATGAACCAGCTAGTCTCAGTCATATGAACTCCCAGACCTCAACAGATTTAAACAGTGCAGAAGTTGTTTCATCTTACTTAGGACTAAGGCTATGACCACACTACACGCCTTTGCATCGATGCCCTTTTTGCCTTTTTACAGAGTCTTCCAGGGCAATATAAACTTTTTGCGTTAAAAAATATTTAAATACTAGCTTTTATATCGTCATAAATCATTTGCTCATATTTATGTTTGTTTTTTATAAATACCGAAGGGAAATCATGTACCTACTCGTATTGCGATATCTT